GTAGAGCTGAGAGTTTGCATGTCGTGTCAGGCCCCACGGCACTGCTGAAACTGCGTGGTCGTGGGACCACACCGTGGGAAGCGCTGGCTCACGAGGGAAGGGAGGGCACCTGGGTGCTGCGGTGCGGTGTGGAGATACAGCTTGGGAGCATGGAGGGAGTGAACAGCTCTGCCTGAGTTATTTGCTGTTCTCCCTGTTTTTTTTACCTGCTGTATTTCCTGAGTCAGACTTTTCAGCAGTTCATCTGTGAGGCCATGAAGTTTCACTCACTGGCCCCCTTGGCACTGTAGACACTCCAAGGTACCTTGGCCACTGCAGTCAGTCAAGAGAGCCTGTCCTGTTCCACTCCAGCGGCCTCCTTGTTCTTTGTTTCTTCTCCACCCTGCTCTGGCTACTCAACTGCCCTCCCTCCCTCTCTCAGATGGGCTTCTAGGAGCTGCAGGAATGAATTCAGACTTCAGAGATTTTGAAGAGGAGCTTACTTTAAAAATTGGTCTCTGGTTGAGGGCATCTGTAGGAGCGGTGTTCAAACTGTTTTCTCTGGACCCCTAGTGTACTTTGGGGACTGTCACGGGCTGAGGTCCTCCAGCCATCCCTGTCACCACCACCAAGTCCATCAAAACAGCTACACTTTTATTAAAAAGAATTCTGGGAACATGCTTGAAGAAAGGTTCCATCGCTTTTATTTTTAACTTTGAAAATTACTTCTCTGAAACACTTTGCTCTGGTTTGAGCCTCTCTTTGCGCAGTTTATTTGGTGCATGTGACAGATACTATAAGGACTGAGAAATTTTAGATCTAGTTCCTATGGGTAGTTCCTAAGTTCCTTTAACAAAGAAAACTGGTATATCTTTAAACAACTTTTGGAATTTTTTGTCGGATACTGTTTAATACAGAAAGCATTACTGCACAGTAAATGCCAGGCCAAGCCGGCCCAAGGGTGCAGATCTGAGTGAGACCCAGCTCTGACCTTGAGAACGGGCTGTTAGAAACCAGCCTCACTGCCCTCCTCTCCCAATGCTCTCCAGCACAGAGCATCTCCATCGGCACTTTCTCAGCTCATCCTCCTCCTGACCAACCCACTGTGTGCCTCTGGGTATTGACAGTATCTCCAGATCCCATCATATGAGTGGAGGGGGAGATGACAAGATGCAGCAAGGGATTTGTCAAGTGTATGTCCCCCTAACCTCTTTTAGCCCTCTGCCCCACGACCTGACTGTGCTGTTACTCTGCAGCTTGGGGTTTAGGGGGTTTGGAAGCAACCCCACCACCACCACCGGCCACCGCCATTCTGCTGGGCTAGGTTTTGTGCATGTTAATCAGTGAGATGTCTCCAAGCATCACTGTAGACTCAATGTGAAATAATGCTTTAGGATAAATGTGGAATGTCTGGAAGTCATAAATTCCTTCAGACTGAGATCCAAACCCTGACTACCTTATCTCCATGATTTCTCTCTTTAGAATCAGATATCTTAAAAGACAAATTCATTGCATTTTTGAAACTTTCTAAAGGAAGCACCACTGATCGGCTGCAGGCCAAGCACGGCCCCTCTGATGTGCCGGTAGTCTGCTGTCACCGTGCGCTAGACGAGCACAGGCTGACAAATTCCTGTGCTGGGTCTTGAGATTCTCTTGACTCTATAAAAAAAAGACTCAGAATGTCTTAAAATAGCATGGTAGCTGAAATAACCATAACAGCAACAATAATAGCTTGCCATTCCTGAGAATGGTTGTTTGTTTAAAATCCAGGGCACTGGTTCTGGCAGTGGTCCGTTTCCACGAGCCGGGCTGCCACAACAGTTGCTCTGATGGAAATCATATGGACTCATCGTGGCATGAAACTCCGGGGTCTGTCAAGCGTCCTCTTAACCCCTCTGTAAGGAATCTCCTTATAGAGACCAGCTGCCTGAACACGCTTGGACAGGAAGTAGGTGGTGTAGGCCTGATCATCGCAGGGAGGCTGCTGCTGCTGCTGTTGCCCTGTCCAAGTGATAACTAGTTGTCCACTCCTGGCCTGGACTCCCCAGCCTGGATGCACAAGCAGGCTGGATTCCCGTCACAGTTCCTGAAGAGGGCACTTGACACTTGAACTGCCTTGTTGAAGAGGGAGTCGGGTGGCCGGTGAGCACAGTGTGTCACACCGCACTGTCGGGGTCCCCGGCTCCCCCTGAAGTATAGTTGTCAGTCCTCCCTGGACTCTCATCCTGTCAGAAGCTCCGGCCACGCTGGCTGCCGCACCCTGCCGTCCACCAGTCCACAGGCTCAGCTGCTTTCCTGTTCCACAGAGCAGTCCCCACGTGACACTCCGCAAAGCTGTCTTCTAGCCCCCTTCCCACACTGAAAACCCCGCCCAGAGTCAGAGCTGGGGCGGGGGCACTGAGGGAGACCTGGGACGAGGGCTTGGCCTGGTGGGAACGAGTGAAGCGACTCTGTTGACCTTGGGTCACATGCACTATAGACTTCTGGAAAGTCCTGAACGGTGGTGTCACTAATGGCTTTACTGGGTCACCTTTTGCTGACTCCCTCGGGGGCCTAGGGAGCACCCCGGACTACTTGATTTCAGACTTTGACAAGTGATAAAAGCCAGTATTGAGATTGCTGCTTCACGGGGTCCAGATTCGTAACTATTGACTGAAGTTATTTCTGCCTTTGCTGAGACGCTCCCTCATGTGTTTGCTGTTACTTTAATGGGTTGCTTCCTGGTGCGTTCTGAGGCCCGGGCACTTGCCCTTCGGTCTGGCAACCTGCAGCTTGACCTGAGTGGAATGGGGGCTGCACGAGGAACATCAGACCAGCCAGCTGGCAATATGACTCACCGCTTTCCCCTGGAAAACACAGTCGGTGTAAACAGCAATTGCAAACGTCCTCACTTGTATCTTTGTGGCTCTGAGCTTTAATCAGAACACCCCAGGCTCTTCATTTCCAGTCTCTAAGCTTGTAACGTCTTAAATGCCCTGTCGGCACAGTGTCTGGGCCTCGTGCTTCTAAACAGAACGTGCTTGGTGACCTCGACATTTGTCAGTAGTAATTACGCTGATTAACAGAAGAATCCCACTGTCCTTCTGGTCTTCAGGGTCCTGTCAGTAAGCCAGTGCTCTGCAGTGGGTTTTCCTGGGGTATCGCCTGCTGGCTCTCTTCCTCCCTGTTTCTTCAGAGGGCCACATTTGCTGTTTTGTGCAGGAAATCCCCACTGTTCTTGGGCTCCCCCTGCTACAGTTGGAAAGACATGAGAGTATCCAAGGTGGAGCCCAGGCCTGAGTTCTCAGCAGGCCAGACAGGCAGCAGATGCTCGTTGCTGTTTTCATTTTGTATTCACCCTTCCCTTGCTTTGCGTTTGGGGAACCAAAGCCAACAGGTTATCAAAAGAATGAGAATAATTGGCCTTCTGACATTGATTGGGGCTCGGGGTTATTGGGTGTTTTGTTTCTGATTTGAAACCAGCTGTTTGGTAACCACTAACTCTTCCCTTATTCTTTTCTTGCAGATGAGCTCACAGTGCCTGCACTTTACCCCAGTAGCCCTGAAGTGTGGGCCCCGTACCCTCTGTACCCAGCGGAGTTAGCGCCTGCTCTACCTCCTCCTGCTTTCACCTATCCCGCTTCACTGCATGCCCAGGTAATTTATACCCATCGGCCACGACTTCACTCACTCCACCACCAGTCCTTTCAAACCTGGTTCCCCAGAGCACACCATACAACTAACACCTATCCAGCTAACAGATCCACCTTCAAGAGATTACTGATTCCCTCTAAATCAAGCTGACACTCCTCCGGGACTTATGAGGACCATCTGACAGCAATGATATCACCCACTGCCTGATGTTTGCCCGAAACAACACCTCTCTCTTCCTTAATGATCTCACCCTCATATCACACACGAGAGACCGGGCCCGGTGACCTCCCCAGCTCCCAGCCGGCTAGCGGGCGTCGCCCGAGCGTAGACCTGTGTGCCTTGTGTGGACGGGCTGCAGCGGGAGGCGTGCATTTGTCACAGGGCCTACGTGTGTGTGTATGTGTGTGTTTGTGTGTTGAGGGGTTTCCACTCTCGTGTTCTGTGAGATCCAGTGACAGAGGGGAAAGTTGGGAGGACTGTGTGCTATCATACGCATGTTAAAGAAGAGGTAAGGGTTCCTTTTCTCCAGTTTTAAGAGACCCTGTAGGATAGAAGGTACAGTATAGTGTCTTAAATGTAATCACAGGTCAAGATAGAGGTCTCTCCTCTGACCAGCTTGCTTTCTTAGTTAAGAATAGCCTGAGTTTTCTAAACAAACTCCCTTGTTTCTTCACAAAGATTACTGTCTACGTACCAATCCTTTCTCCTCCCTTGGGAAAAAAAAGTTTCTCTTAGCTTTACTTTTAGTACAAGGAGTAGTAATCAGTGTGAAGATTCAGAGTGATGATCAATAGCGAAAAAAAGGAAAAGAAAGGCAGTGTAGCTTTCATTTGTCTGACTGCAAGTGTAACTCCTGGAAGCAGGAAAACCTGGTTTTGATAAGTTGTCATCCTGGAAAGGTGGTAGTTTTGTTTGTTTTGCTTAGTGTTTATTTACAAGGCTGGATGAAATAAATAGCTTCCCAGAAAACTCTTAAAACTCTCTGGCTTAAAACTCTTGTATGTTGTACAGAACTTACTGTGTTGTACAAGACACCTGCAGGCAGCCCCAGCGAGCATTCTCGCAGGCTGTGGGGTCAGTTGTGGTGTTAGCCGGACACCCGTCCATTCCGTTTCAGCTGAGTTGTCAATGCTCCGTGTGTGCACGGACAGCTCAGCTTCCCGGGCACCATGCAGGCAGACTACAGAGAGAAGGCCTTGGTGCCTGGGCCCCGAAGTGATTACCCTCAGTGTTGGGAGAAGTGGGTAGAAAGTAGTACCAGTAGTGGAGGAAAACGTAGGTGGTGGTGGTGAGAGTTCTTGGCACAGAAAACAGAGCAGCAGGGTTCTTCCAAGGCTGATCACCCAGTTTCTAGATTCACTGTGCTTTTTGCTTTCCTTCCCTGCTGCTTTTCCCACCTTTGTCCATGTCAGCGTGTGGTCACCCTCGCAGGTAGCAGGGGAGGGAGGAGAGAGAATAAACCCGCAGGTACCCTCGGCTGAGGTCTCAGAATGTTCGTAGTGGCCTCAGAGATAACTCTGTAGATGCCGTGGAGCAACTCAAAAAGTCCTGTCTGTTGTGGCCCAGCCCCGCCATCTGTGGACATGTGATCCACCTCTTCCTCTTCCTGGACTGCCTAGATACAGATCAGTTGACAATTGAGACAAATATCCATGGCTTTGGTTAATCAGCAGCAAAGCCTTTCACCATTGCCCTGAAGAGGCAAGAATTGAGAATGGCCAGAAAGGACCGTCAATGGTGGCTTTTGGCCGTGACATCTGGGTAATTTGCCCTTGCTTCATTCATATTACGGATGAAATCAAAAGTCATTCTGGGGAATATGGTGGGAGAAGGAGCTGAAAAGTCTTAAGAGATTAGAAAGCCCAGGCCATTTGTGAGAATGGATGGTGAGAGACAGTGCCAAGATTAGATGGACTCAACCATTATGCCTTAAAGGGATGGACTGCCCATGGTAGCACCCCCCTGTGTGCTCATCTTTGATTGTGAGACTTCCCAGCCTGGAATCCACTTGGCACCGCCACGCCGGCCCTAGAGTTGGTGGGACTCTCGTCTTACCAGTGAGATCCTTGTGCTCAACCCCACTTCTTGTTTGGGGCCATTCCCAGGGCAAGCTGGGGTTCTGTATCCTAAAGACTGGTGAACAAATATGGTCACTTAAATGTCTTTGTTCAGTATGAGAATCATAGAATGAACTGGGAGAGGCTGTACAGATCAGCTGGTCTGACCCATTTTACAGATGAGGAAACAGACCGGAGAAGATGGAGAGTTACCCAAAGTCGCAAGTGGCTCTGCCATGACTAGAGCCAGGTCACCTGACTCCCAGCTCTTTCCACACTTCAGTGCTGGCTCACCAAAGACTAATTCTTTGATGGAATTTTGGGAAGGCCTTCCTCCAGTGACTCCTTGGATCTTTCTTCTCTAAGTAGATGAGAAGCCTGTAAGAAGAGACTTGGAGGCAGAGACAAGGGAATCAGAACTTAACCTTCACCCAAAGGGCCTAAGAGAATTTTTATTAACTTGAGGTAGAGCAGAGGGGAAGACCAAAATGGAGCATCCCCTTAGTGGATAATTGCATTTTTGTTTTGGAAGTCTTATTAATGTCTTTGGAGAAGCTTTTAATTTTGCTTTTCTTAGCAATGTTGTGCTCTGTTTTGAGACATGGATTTTTTTTTTCTTCTAGTGTTTCTCTCCTGAGGCAAAGCCCAACACACCTGTCTTTTGTCCACTTCTCCAGCAAATTAGATTTGTCTCTGGGAATGTGTTTGTAACATATCAACCTACTGCAGACCAGCAGAGGGAGCTCCCATGTTGAATTTGCTTGTTAGCTATTTTTCCCCCTTTTGCAAAAACTATTTCTTGGTAACATTTGAGAGATTTCAATAAAAATTTTAATTAGAGCAAAAATGATCTCAAGTAGACTGCAGCGTTTTGTTTTTGTGGTGATGTGATTTTGGAGATGTTATCTCTTAAGATTTTGGTAGAACTGGGCCCGTGACACTTAATATACATGATATGAGAGTCTGACTCGAAGCACCCTGGGGAGGCTTGTCCAGAGCCGAGGCCTCGCTGCTGCTGCTTGTATCTTCTTAGGCTCCTGAACCATCAAGAGCTTCGTATTAGAAGAGTCTCATTCTAGCATCCGTGAGTCACATCTGCCAGGAGATCTCACTTCAACAGGGTGGATGTGTTTTTCCAGTCTGATCCAGAACGAGGACCCAGGAGACAGAAGCTGTCATTGAAAAGGAGTTGCATCTTATGTCTACTTCTGCCCAGCTTCATTATGTGGTCTTTCTTTGCCTCAATCTCTGAGTTGAAGATGCTTATTTGACATCAGATCCCCCTTTTAAAGAACTTCTGGATAATTCTTAAAAATTATGAGGCAGGGAGCAGGACTATAAGCCTCAGAACTGCCTTATTATTTTAGAAGTGGAAGAACAACTTGGTGCAGCAAACATCTGATTTCTAAGAAGATCACTAACAATCTAAGAAATGATCGTCCTTACTTTCACCGTCCTTGGTATTTGAAATGTATTAAATATGTTATGCAAGTCACTGAACAGGAAAGGAAGGTTTCGTCTGAGCTGTAGGAAAGTTATACTCGGAAGAGAACATACGGACAGCCCCTCTCACCTCGTATTCACACAGCTCAGCTCTAAGTCTGGGTTCATCTTTGCCTTTAGTCTTGCTGCTGACAGGGCGGAAAGAGAGTTAAAGTGCACTGTCCTCACTGCCTCCTAGAAACAGTACTGTTTACCCCTGACCAGAGCCACACTGTTAGGCCAGAAACTTTGTAGGTAAGTAGGACTGAGAGAGCAAGTCCTGGTTGCCTGTTTCTCCCACAGAGGCCTCATCTGCCCTGAGCAACAGCAGGTCTCCCCCCAGTGCTGCCGGGCCGCTGATGACTGGGACACATCACCTGCCTGTAAACAAAAGGTTTTAAAATCACAACACAGACTTCCCAGGGCAAGACCTGCCCCTTGGGAGGTCCCTTGTGACACACTGGAAAAACTTTAAAGGTTAAACCCAAAATAAATGCAAGCGTGGACCATGGGAAAAGAGACATAGGCAGACTGGGAAGAGAGGTCCCAGGGGAGAGATGGGCCTAGGGTGGGGTGTGGGTGGCCTAACTGCAGGGCCCCGCCCCCACCCCCTTCCCCATCCAGGCATCTACTGAGCAGCGCTGTGTGACTTTGGAGAACTGCATTTGTAAATTTTTTTAAAAAGCTAATCTCATTAAGCATCTCCTCTGTCAAATTGTGCCCCACAGACAATACTGAGATAAAGGAGACAGGAGAACATCGGCTTTGGCGTGGGTCTGACCTACAGCCACAGACAGCGTACGCAAGTGTCTGGAGGGAGGCGGGGAGCAGGCAGGTGTGAGTGTGGACTCAGGCTGGCAGCAGTGCTTCCTGCCCAGGCATGTGTTGGGACTCACACGAGAAGGACTTCTGTTCAGAAGGTGGTATCCAGGGCTGTAATGGTGACTGGACCGTAGTGGGACCCTGACCAAGCCCCCGGGAGGCAGCTGCAGCCCCTCACCAGCCAGGAGATTGGGCCTTGCTTCTGTGCCTCACACACGGCATCTGCTCTTAACTCCTGACATCCTCATTCTTGGGGCTCGGCCTTCACAAAGGTGCATTGTCTGCCTTCAGCCCGGGGCTGTGACTGTCCTGGGAACCACAGCTTTGAAGGACTGCAGTGTTGCCTTTGAGGCAGCACAGCTCACGGATCTGAATTGTTTCCAGGTAGAAACGAAACTGTTAATTCTCCGACGTTTCTCTTTTCCTCTAAATCTGCAGCTCCGTGACAGTCAGGCTGGGAGGAGGAACCACCGCTTGGTACTCCGTCTCCTGAGCACGCTGGCCTTGTCTAGTTCCCTGTTTTGTTTGGCTTTCTGGTCACCTAGGAGCATCTGGCTTAACTCCCCATCAGAGACTGGGGGCAGGCACGCCAGGCCAGGCACTCTTAGCACCGGCCTCCTGTGAACCTGGGAACCCCCCCCT